TCATGGGAAGTCCATGGTTATTAGATCAAGACAATGCCAGCTCTCATTCTGCATGTGCTACAACACTGTGGTTTCGTAGAGACAGAGTGAATGTGCTAGACTTGCCAGCAGATCTGTCTCCTATTGAAAATGTATGACCAGTCATGTAAAGGAGAATCAGACAACGACGATCACAGACTGCTGAGCTTCTGAAGTCTTGTATCAAGCGAGACTGGACAAAAATGTTGCTTGCAAAACTTTAACAATTAGTATCCTCAATTCCCAAACAATGAAACCTTGTAATTTAAAAGGAAGGTTGATGTGACGCAGTGTTAAACATGCCTCCTTCCCAACTTTTTTGGAGCGTGTTGCAGCCGTCAAAATCGAAATTTGTTCATATTTACAAAATACATTTACATTGGTCAGTGAAAACTTTGGAAATCTTTTCTGTGTACTTTTGTCAATTAAATAAAAGTTAAAGAGAATTAACAAATCACAGATTCTTAATTTTATTGCATTTTACAAAATATCCCAACTTCTTTGGAATTGGGGTTGTATATTGTTATTGCGAATTATTTTGGAAACTATAATAGTGTAGTGAAAAGTCTTTCATGACAGCCCTAATCTGGAGTTGGTTCCTGCAGGTATTTGGTGGACAGTAGCTGGTTCAAGAAGTGGAAGAAATATGTGGGTTTTGACAGCTGGGACATATATGTGATGGGCAGCCAGAACGTGTTTCCTGGACCAGTGGACAACTCTGGTCTGCTCAGAGGTGAGAAATTCCATGCAAATGTCAACTTTACCAAAGTTTTTAAAGTTTTTACCAAGAGAACAAAACCAAGTTGTGCCTTTAGGTCTGTATTTTACTGCATTAAATAGAAATGATAGAAATGTGAAGGAAATCACCATGCTTATCAACCACATATGAGGTGTGCACCTATAGTAAATTTACACTTTAATCCAACTATATTTCATGTTTTCAAAACTGAGATAATTTTTTTTAATGTCAACAGTAAGCGTTTTATAGAAAGATGACACCTGGGGCCCGTTTCAATAAGGAGGTTCAACCAACCCTGAGTTAAAACTTGAACTCTGAGTTGGCTTACTCTGAGATGGGAAACTCTGAGTTTTCGGTTTCAGAACAGCTGAATTGAGTTAGTTCAATCGACTCTTGAGTAGGTTGACTCTGAGTTTAGCGCGTGCACCACAACTATGAAAAGCCATGATCAATGGAGCTCCGATATTACGATTAACCATGGCAACAGCTCCCGCCAAAAAGACGTCCGCCTACTTCAGAGTCAATACAAGTTTAATTCTTATCACTGTTATAATATCACAGGTGAAAACTTGCAGAACGGTAGGTTATTAAACTAGGCTATTCATTTTCATGTTATCCCACGGGCAAAAAAATTTAAAATAATAATAATAATTGAAGTACATTTTTCTTATTTTACAAATGATCTGCCAATAGGGTAAGAAAAATACGGCAGCGGCTATTTACACTAAGTGGAATTAGCATACTTTCTTAGCGATATATCCTATTTACAGTAGGCTAAGTGCAAATAGCTCTAGATGCTATTTACACTATAGTGAAAATATTGATATATTATATTTACCATGTAAAAGTAGCAGTTCTTTGCAATAAGTGTAAAAAAATAATAATTAGATGCCATTTATACTTTATACTGGCAGATACATACTATTTGCACCTCAGTATTGTTACATTAACAGGATGCAATAATAATAATACAAGAGTGTAAATTCTTGTATTTAAACAAGATTCAGGGTTAACATACTCAGAGTTTTCACTTAACCTCCTTTCTGAAACAGGCCCCAGTTTGGATAGTTTTCCCCATTTTTGTGTTCAGGATTTTGAAAACATGTCTCGATGATGCACTGGAGCCACTGATCACGGCCTCCCGTCTCCTAACACTAGAAGAGGTGTGTTCGACTTGAAGCAGCGCTGTGCAGATCGATCGGTGTAGGACATCAAAATATAGTGAGAACTATAGAGAGCAGATGCTTTCAAATTGCTCTAGCAGTACTTTCATGTCAAACATCGATCGTTCTGCGCGGCGCTGCTTCAAGACAACCACACACCTAACATCAGTGGATTAGTGTATGTGATCCATTAAAAATAAATGTCTTTCTTTTCAGTGGTTTAGTTTTGCATGTGCATAAACAACAGGAAAAGGAAACTCAGAAAAACTGAATAAAATTACATATGATAGGAATAAAATAAATAGGCCTACACAAAATATGTTTCAGTAAAATAATTAATATAATAAGTCTTGTTTTGTTGCATTTTTATGGCTGCACTGCAAGTTTAAGGAAACAGAGATGTCTGAAAGTGCATCCTGTTTGTTTTATTTATTATACAAAGGCATAGTTTTTCTTATAGTGAGCAGGCATAAATAAAAGTAAACCGCTTCAAATGATGTCTTACTCCTATCTTTATGACCGAAAATGTCAGAATATTTTAGTTTTTCCGCTGTGGTAAGGAAAATTACCACACTGGAGCCTCTCACACATACCCAACATATAATTTATAGCATTGTTAGATGTTTATAGGTCTATGCTATTTATAATAAATGTGCCCTTATAATTTGTGTTTAATTTTATAATTGTATATGTAATTTTGAAATATAATTTCATAGCTACTTATATTTTCTGATTTTTTAAAAATCTTGTTTTATTCTGAATACCGGTAAAATTTAAAGGATTTGCTGACAACCTACAGGTAACTAGTGTTAGGTAAGTTACTTCAAAAAAGTAATTAATTACTAATTACTAATTACATCATCAATGTTGTATTTAAAATACTTTTCTTATTACTCTGTCTGAAAAGTAATTTAATTACTCAATAAATAATTTAACTCAATACCAATTACTTCTTAAAATCCCTATAAATCTTGACTGGATAGACAATAGAAATTAAACTCTTTAATAATTTAAATGTGAGTCAAACATGGAATAGTTTAAAGGCAACATTTTAGCTTCAGTAGTAGGAGAAATTATATTTTTATAGAGTTCTGTATTATATTTATGTATAAACCAGACCAATTCTAAGTGATATCCACCATATTCTTTAAGTAAGCCTATAGGTGAGACTTCCGGTTCATTATCCGTTATAGGGAAATAACAAGAAGAATTTTTTTTTTTTAATCCTCAGGTGTACGTGCAACCTTGAATGGTCCACTCTGATCCCGTGACCCAGACAGCACACAACTATCCCAATATATAATTTCATGACAATAATGTTCCCATGCCCTTCGTCTCAGTGAAGGTTTGACAGTAAAGGCTTCTTGCTGAAAGCAGTACCAGTCACTTTTGGCAGAGTGACCGGCTTTCTCTTGGACATAACATTTCTGTACACCCGTCATGAAATTGGCACGGGATTCTGCCATTTTAAATTCATATTTTAAAGTCACATATTATGTCTCTGCATTGTTCCAGAGACGGCTCTAGTTTTCAATCGAACGTGCACGAGAATCAAAGAAAGCTTGTAAATTCTGCACTTTTGTTTCTATATTAATTTGTGCATTTTGAAAATGTTAAAGATGCAAAAAGTGAACAATTTTTTTTATTGTCAACATTGTTGATAATGTTAACTAAATGTTTCAGCTCTATCACATATTTCATCGTACTTTTGAAACTAGCGTGTAGTTCTCAGCGCTATTTATGCACATTGTGTGTGTTTTTATGCTAATCTTATGCTACCTAAGAGGAACAGTATTATGTCAGCAAATGAGATGGACACGTGTTTGCTCAACTGAAATGAACATGACATAGAAGTTTAAAGCATTTCTCTTCTGCTGCACATCAGTGATGTATGTGTGTCCCGTTTGTAGATTGGGACACGCTGGACATTAAGGAACACCTCATTGATGAGCTGGACTATACCCTGGTTCCCACAGAGGGCTGGAAGAAGCTTGTGAGCTGGTACGGCCTGAAAGATGGACAGGAGCCTATTGCTCGAAAGGTAAAGCTGTCTGTGGAAGGGAAGCCGAGCTGTCCATATCCACTGTAGACATCATTACTTGTATGTAATTAGCTATGTTTCCATCCAAATATGCGAATTTAACTTATGCGCAAAACTGGAATATTGCATAAAACATTTGCGAATAAAGCACCGTTTCCATCCAATGAGTCAAAGAGAACAAAATCGTCACTTCCTGATAAACTAGCACTAAATATCTCTAGAAAACTAGGAGAAGCCACTGAATATAATAATTTTCATATGTAATAAATTACTTGCGCTTCAAAGAGAGCAGACGTAACACAATAAATGCGGTGCCTGCTGTTTGGGAACGCAGTCATGTAAGACAGTAATTATACAGAAATACTTGGATGACAGACTTTCCTCAGGCATTTCAGAACGACCAAAACAACATATAGATGCTGTGAACGAGATCGGTCCGCTGGTTAGTCAATTTATCCCGTCTCATAGCGCAAAGTCACATGACTTTTTCAATGCGCATGGTGGAATTTATTCAGTAAATGTGTTTCCATCGTAGTTTATGCACATTTTTTCTTATCGGATAAAAA